CTACTGCCACCAGTGCTTCCTACCATCCATCAGAGAAGAGTAAACTCGGTAAACAGAAGAAAAAAAAAAGACGAAGTCCAGGCAGATCAGTCAGGAGTGACGGATACTATGTTTTCAGTCGCCGCTCAGTTCTCTATTTGTATGCAGCAGTGCAAAGAAGCGTCATCTAAGAGTTGAATCCAGTAAATTTTACACGCTTGCAATCTATATTGACCGGGTTTTTGCCTTGCCACATTTGTATTGCTTTACATTCTCTTCTCTGAAGGCAAGTTACGGTAATCAAAGGGGGAATGTGACAGGCGTAATTGCTTATACTCCCTGTTCTGCTGGTCGCTGAGGACCTCTGAAGCGGGCGCAGTGAGTGACAGGCACTGTAACCCTTGGCTTCAGCGAACAGTAGGCACCCCTCCCCGGGTTTCCTCACACCGTGGCGTATGCGAAGTCCACCCGCTCCCTCCATCCCCCTACCTGCCTCGATCCGGTTATCTTCTTTTTTGTTTGATGCCCTCCAGAGCCTCTTCCTGGACCCTTGCGGCGTTTGAACCGCGGAAAACCTCCCGAGCGAAAATGCGCTGGGGCCTACCGGGGGCGAACCGGGCCAGTCGACCGGCCCGGTTCCGGTGGGACTGGAAGTCCAGCACTGTTTTGAAGCCTATTTATAGTAACTTGATAACCCCCGAACTCCTCTGGGTGACCCACCACAGGATTGGAAGATGAGATTGGATTCTGACTGCTCAGGCCAATCACAGTGATGGCCTGAAGTCAGGGGATGACTTACCATGTGGCAAGGGAGGGGGAGGAGGACGAAGGAGGCAATGAGGGCCAGCACTGGGTGCTTCAGAGTTGACACTGCTCGACAGGCACACAAACCTTGGCCGTTCTTGGGCAGACGAACTTCGAAAATGAGGTCTGCGGCACCATGCATTTTATTTTTTTGGGGTTGTGTGCCATCAACGCAGACCCTCCAAAGTTCGATTGGGCACCTGCATGGGGCCAACTTGTTTTTCCCTAGCATGCACCAAACCTGCACCAGGTGGCGAGAGCGGGGGGCTGGGCACGGCATTGTGTGGCTGGGCGACCCTGGCCGGGGTTGCACCGCCTGGAATGTGTCCTAGTTTTATACAAGACTAAATTTTTTAAGAAGAAAAAGAAAAAAACATTTGAGGTGGCTTTATGGTTCCTTTTCATATGCAGAGCTGCGTTTTAATCTTGATCTGTGACAGATGTATGATCCTTTTCTTCTTTTTTTTTCCCAAACAGGTCCTTATGGTCCTGGCTCCATATCCATTCCGGGCAGCGTCAGTCCGGTTCCTATCCCACCGGCACGTCAGAATGAAGTATTACATCATGAACACCCTCATGCTTCCTTCCGTCTGGCCGAAGGATCCCTGACCAGCATTGATCGCCCCGATACCGGAGGATTGACTGTCGGCTTGACTTTCATCTACCTTTCCTCTCAGGTCCACTGTCTGAACCTGCCAAACTTGCCTGAAGAACAAGAAAGTTAAGTAGCTAAGGCATCTTGCAATCCAAGACTTTGCCCTTGAAGACTATGTAGCCTGTGGTGGGAATTTTCCATCAGTTGGTTGACATCTCAACCTTCTTCTCCACCCTGCTTCCCAATTGTGCCTGTCCTTCCACCATATCTGGGAGTCCTTTATCTCTGCCACTTTGCCACCTGCCAGCCGAACCTTAGTGAATTGTGCTAGAATTCTCTTCTGTTGGTCCACGCCATCCGGCAAAGAAAGTCTGGTTTTGTGCCACTTGCACAAAATCTCTGCCTGAAACAAAGTCCTTGTCTCCACCCACACCTTCTCCCTTGGAGTTGAAAGACCCTCAATGTTTCTGCAACACCTTTCCTTCCAGATGGACCACGGCGTTACCTTCCTGACCATTCCTAACCTGGTCCTCTCTGTCTTGTGGAATTGGGCAGGGATGTTAGTCCATAGGAGGAGTTGCATGGGGTGTTGTTCCGGAAGGGGAGTCGAGAAGAGGGAATTCCAGATGTCTGATGCCCTAGCTGAGTACTTCGTCGCTTCTCTACAGCGTATTAGGCAGTGAAGCATATCTTCTTTTTGTTCATTGTCCGAGCAGATCACACGTAAGTCTGAGCGGTTAGGATCGTTCTTATGTCTTCGGATGTGCGCAGCCATTGGTTGGATGGTAGCGCCCACCTATGAGATTACCCATTGGAGACTCGCTCCTGATTTTGACCGGTCTGATTGATTTGAACTTTTCCAGGGTATGTGTTACATGCTGCCCCTGCAACAGGCTGCACGGGCCACTTTCAGGCCCGTGACGTTTTCAGGCCGAAAGCCTGAAAACAAGGGCCTACAGGCCCCGTGTCGTTTCAGCCTGAAAACCTGAAAACAAGGGCCTACAGGCCCTGTGTCGTTTCAGCCTAAATCAGGGCCTTTCCGGCCCTGAGTCTTTTCAGCCTGAAACTGAGGGTCATTTTCAGGCCCTCATAAGTTTGACCTGCCCTGAAACTCAGGCACCGAACCAGGGTTTTAGCACAGGCCATTCTGGGCCTGTTTTCAAGACAACCCCGGGTTGAGCTTCAACGCCAGGGTCTGGCACGTTTCGGCATTGGCAAGAGCAGCCTCCTGGATGGGCCAGCACTATATAGGACTGGCCCGCCCTGCAGGCTGCAGGTAGTTCCTAGGTACTTCCCAGGCACTTCACGTGCAGTTCAGGAGGCAGGAGGTAGTCTTCAGGATTCGGCAGCAGCACTCTGGAGGAGCGCTGCAGGAGTAGTAGTAGCGCTAGCAGTAGTCTCCAGCGCCGGGCGCTAGTAGCGTTAGCAGTAGTCTTCAGCACTGGGCGCTAGTAGGAGCTAGAGGAGTACTGGAGAGAGAGAGAGATTGGGCGGAGGCCAGGGAGACTTACCTGCAGCGCCATAGCTCCGGCTCCGCCTTCGAGGTACCTGCAGCACAGCGCCAACTTCACAGGTAAGTACCTGGCACATGGGAGAGAGAGAGTTCTTCTTCCTCTTCTCAGTCCATCATCTCCCTCTCACCCTCTCGCTACCTGACTTCACTGCATCAGCAGACTATGAGAGAGCGGGCTTGGTGACATTCGGATCCAGACTCGACATTGGGCTTCAGAAGTTTTGAGAAGTGATTATTTGGGACTTGTAACAAAGACTTGGTGTTGACGACATTCCCATCTCTCCCCCTCTTCTTCGTCTGTTCCCCTCCTCTTCGTCTGTGCATGATCTGGACCTGGCACGTTTTTCCTGTGTGTAGCCCCAGGCCCCCTTCACAGCTTGTGATGATGATGTTGTATGTTTGGTCTGCGTTGCAACATTGATTGGGCTAGTCATTGGTATTCTAGCATTCTGCTGCACTGTCTTGCACTACGTGATAGAGGTCAGTCCCGGTCAGGTCAGGACTTGTATCTAAGTCTTCCCCTGCGCTATAAAGCACCAGTTTTGTATGTATCAGAATGTACACTGCTTGTTGAGATTTCACTTGCACTGCATTGTCCATTCAGTCCTTTTTATCACATTGCGGATCCTCGGTTATGTATGTACATCGCCCAACTGGGCATGTAACAGTATGTGTGAAATCTGACCAGCGTCCTGTCCGATTAGTTTGAGGCTCATCTATTTTAAAATTTTAATTATGGGATCCGGATGCTTAGTCTTGAGGAATATAGATTATAAGTTATAACCCATTTTGACTGAGTAATCCTGGATGTGGATGTTTGTTTTTAGATTTTTTGTTTCTTTGTGGTGTCCAGTGTCCACTGTCCAGGCCCATTCTGCAGAACAGATCTTATAATCCAGTTTAATCTTGGGGTCATGGCGGAAAGAACAGTCATTATTCAGCAGGGGTCTTGGGTTCAAATTCCAATTCGGCCATGACCCCAAGACTCTTACTTTCCTAAGGATGAACAGATCTATGACTGTTCTTTCCACATCATTATTCAGAACGGACGAGGAACCTCGAACTGATGACGTGATTCAAAAGGAGGTAAAAGCAGCTAGAGTCTCCGATCCGAAGAAATCCTGCACCCGGACTCCCCATTCCCCAGATTTCCAAGTCAACGCTTCGCTCAGCAGCTCCTTCCAGCCTTCGGGGATGCGCTTAACGACAGTTTGCAGATTCTCCTCCTGCCGATGACATTCCTTCAGGTGGTTGAGGGGGGGGGGGGGGGGGGGAGTTCCTCGTCAGGCAGCCAATTTTTCTCTCGCCATCCCATAGATGGCTCACTTGCCAACCTCCGTGTTTCAAGCACGATAGCCATCACGTACTCCTTGGTTTAAGAGAAAGCGCGTGGTCTCTTTCGTCTCTCACCCACGGGTTACCAAATAAAGGTTGCCTCAATACCTCCTCTTTGGACTTGGGTTTGCCCATCTTCTTCGGCATATGATTTCCCACCATATCCGAAGCAACGCAGTCCAGTAGGGTGTAGGGGGTCTGGCCTCATTTGGACGAGCTCCTCTTCGTTGATTTCTACGGCCTGCGTTTGGACTCCTTTCCTTGTTCAACACCCAAAATAAACGAGAAGAGGAGCTCCGTTGATTTCTACGGCCTGTGTTTGGACATATGCGCTGGTGTCGCTTTCGGAGCTAAACGTCTGATACTATCCAGCGCCAGTTTGTTCTCATACAATCAACCAAGAGCTTGCCTGTCCTGTGGTTGGGGGACCCCAACAAAGAGAACTGTATACACAAGATAGCATGGCATTACAAGGAAACCTGCCAGAGGGGGCCTTGGTATCATTAGACCCTGCCTAAACAAGAAACGACAGATGTATGATAAAAACTTATTAAAAAGACATTTGAAATTTGAATTCTGAAATTTCAAATTTGTACCATAGAATAGAAGAAGTTCAGAACTAATCCCTTGACGTTCAAACGCTGAAATTTATACTTCAAAATACACACAGAAAATTTGAGAAATATAGCAAGTCCAGAAATATGTCATAAGACTCATATTGATACCGTCGGTTGGATCTGTCCCCCCATTTTCGGGTCTGCACTGACTCTGCAGGAAGATATGGAGAATATTCTTGCTGCTAGAGAACAGTCGGTGGGAGCTCTCACAGCGGAGGTGAGTTTGGAGACTTGGAAATTTCCTATCTCCAATGACTAACAAGAATTCATTGTGAGGGAAGGGGGCACATCTACTTCCATCCTTAAGGACATGGCTCAGATGGCTTGGGAAAACAGATTCACTCTGTCTGACATTGGCTGGTGTTTGCATCTTTGCAGTGTTGGACTTCACCAGACGGTATGATCTTCATCAATACTCAGGCCTTGTGTTGTAGAGTGGCATTATTTTTGATTGCTCTGTTTGATTGCTTGTGAATGGTACTCTCTCTCTCTCTCTCTCTCTCTCTCTCTCTCTCTCTCTCTCTCTCTCTCTCTCTC